AAAAACACTTGTCTTTCATTGGTGGGATGAAATATGCTAATTTTTTGGGACAGGCATTTTGGGTTTTCATGAGCTGTATGCCATAATCATCAGTATTAAAACAATTAAAGACCTGAAATATTTCAGTTGGTGTGCAATGAATCTGAAATATATGAAAGTTTCATTTTTATCATTACATTATGGAAAATAATGAGCTTTATCACAATATGCTCATTTTTTGAGAAGGACCTGTATATCTATGATCTAGTGATTATATGATATCTTTGGCCCTACGGTTTCCTGACACGCATGCGCATTACAGTTGTTCCTTGTATTCGAAACCAAGCGAGGGAAAAAGAAGAGTCTCTTCATCTGTGAGTTGTGTTTGTTAAATCTTGGCGTGTGGTGTATTTTACTAAGGACTCTTGAGCACAGTCACTGCTCTGTTTTATATTCATGTAAAATAATTTTCTGTCGGTGCCGTATTTTAGCTCTGAAGCACTTTGAAACCACTTGTTTGCTTTAACAAACTGACAAGCTCGGTTTGAAAATGTCCGTGTTTTAGTTTGAGTTAATACAGAAGCATCTGCTAACGGTGCGGAGGTCATTTCAAGCACATTTATTAATCTTTAACTTTCACTCTAAATTACGGCTCAGATTAAAATTCTCGAAGGACTTTTGTCCTGTAAAAAATGTCTTTTCATACTTTGTGCAGAACGAACGCTGCGTTTGAACAGCCTGCGTTCAGAATCCAAGTAAAAAGCTAAAATAGCGACATGGTTTGTGTAATGTCTGCCGAAATGAACAAGACGGTTAAAGAAACGTTTACTGAGCGCTGTCTGCACTCTTTCAATTAGACTGGTAAAACGTTATTACTTAGAATGATGAAACGTTGTCTTGCGAAGATTAATGAGTTCTACTGACATTACGTAAAAATGTGTAATGACGGAATGGTTGTTGAACATTTCAGAGTCTGAGTTTAAGTTTGAACATTTCAGAGTGAGTTTAAGTTGAAACATTT